CATGAATTGACTGATCACACTCACTGCATACGCTATATTTGGCCGAGTGTGAGAAAGATTAATGAGCTTCCCCACCAACAATTGATACGTCTCTCTATCTACCATAGCATCTTCTTCTGCCTCTCTAAGCTTGAGATTTGGTTCTATTTGAGTACTCACTGGTTTGCATGTTGTCTTGCCGATTTCTTTGAGTAGATCTGTAACATATTTCTATTGAGAGATGAAAATGTCTTGCTTAGAATGAGTCACTTCAATCCCAAGGAAATCTCTCTATCATCATCACCAGTAACAAATATGACATCAATATACACCAATAGGGCTGTAACTTTACCTGCAGATTGGTGTTTAATGAACAAAGTATGATCCCCTTGACTTTGCCTATATCCCATAGCTGTCATTACTCTAGCAAACCTCTCAAACCATGTTTGTGGTGATTGTTTAAGTCCATACAAGGACTTTTTTAGTCTGCATACTGTACTAGCAATCAACCCTTTACTATAATCTATTGAAAATTCCATATAAATTTCCTCCTCCAGTTCTCCATGCAAAAATACATTCGTAACATCAAACCGCTGCAAATCTCAATCACCATTAGCTGCTAGTGACAATAAAACTCTAACAGTGTTCATCTTTGCAACCGGAGCAAACGTTTCTTGATAATCAATCCCATATGTTTGAGTATAACCCTTAGCCAACAACCTAGCTTTGTATTTTTCTATTGATCCATCTGCTCTATATTTTACTATGTAAACCCATTTACACCCTACGGGTTTCTTTTCTTCAGGTAACTTCACTAACTCCCAAGTTTTGTTCTTCTCCAATGCCTCCATCTCCACATTCATGGCTTGCTTCTATTTTTCATTGGTTAAAACCTTGGATACATTGGTAGGAATGGAGATGGTGTTTAAGCTGACAAGGAAGGCTCTATGAGATGGTGAAAAATGTTTAAAGGATAGGAAATATGCAAGAGGATATAGAGGTCGCTTTGTACATTCTCTAACTCATTTCCTGATAGCAATAGGGTGGTCTTTGTTATCATTGTTTATCGCATATTCAAACTGAGAAAAAGGATTAGAAATTGCTACCTCATTCTCAAGATTTAGGTTGGAGTCTTGGACTTGCACAGATTCAGGGACAACCTTCTTCCTCCTCGAGAACACTCTGCCTTTGTCAAATCTCACACTATCAAGGGTCAGATTGTATTGTCAATCGGCTCAGCGGGAGGAACATTTTCAGTAGGCTCGGTAGAAACATCCATGAGATTAGGCTGTCTTAACACAGGAAGTGGTGAAGATGGCAGATCAAGAGACAAAAAATCTGCCTTATCCTTATCTTCAATTACTGAATTCTCCCCCTAAAGACAAGGAACGGTGAAATAGGATTCTTGTTCATGGAATGTCACATCAGCTGAGATATAGAACCTTTTTAATGGAGAGTGACAGCACTTATACACATTTTGAGTTGAAGAATATCCCACAAACACGCATTTTAATGCCCTTGGATTTAATTTTTTCTGGTTCTGATTATGAACATGAATAAATGCCACACACCCAAATATACGAGGAACAAGACTATTTGTGGTATGTAGGTTTGAATAAAACTTGGAAAGGACATCCATTGGCCTTTTAAATCCTACAACTTTAGACGGCAAACGATTTATGATATGGGTGGCTGTAAGAACCACTTCTCCCCAAAAAGATTTAGGCACATTTTTCTGAAACAAGGACCTTGTTAAATCGAGAAGATGACCATTTTTTCGTTCTACTATTCCATTTTGTTGTGGAGTGCCCAGACAAGAAAACTCATGTACTATTCCTACTTTCTGAAAATATAAAGTTAGGGCTTGATTGAAATAGTTTTTAGCATTATTTAACCTAAATCTTTTGATATTAACTCCAAATTGAGTCTTTATCATAGAACAAAAATTTGGAAAAACAATGTTAACATCAGATTTCTGTTTAAA